TAATTTCCTTCTTAATATTGCGTTGAAAGTAATGGTAATGAATCTTTGACAAAATGCTTCATTTAAACTAGTTTTTTTTTTCTTTTCATACTTAGAAAACGAGATCAAATGTATTTATTTCTTCCTATTGAACTTTTTACGCGATACTTAAAATTAGAATTATTTTTCCATTCTCAAATTTTGCACTTTTTCTTCAAATTTAAGCAGTCTTAAAATATACTAAATGATCAAATAAATATAATTTTGAAAAGGTTTTAAAAGTTATATAAGGCCAAGTATCGTTTGTACCAAAAAATTAAAAAAAAAACGACACATAAATTTAAATTCGGATTAATTTCTTTCTTGATTTTTTGAAAAAAACTAATGAAAAAAAGTGAAAAAAGAAAACAAAGATTTAGATAAGTAAAAAAACTTGGGAATATCAAAATATTAAGAGTTTTAAAGTTTTAATTCAATTTTTTCTAGACTCAACAAGCATAATAAATGCTTTTAAGACACTTATTAACTTTTAAAACAGTTAAAAAAATTAATAACATGATTCAAACCAACTTAAAAGTTGTAACTGATTGATATAACTCTTGTTTTATAATAACGTTTTAAAACAAACTTTGAGAGTTCTTGAAAAGCTTAATAAAATGTTTGGGATTCAGGTAGAAAAATCCATGACTCGAAATTGTTGTAAGAAGACAGTTATAAAGCTTTTTTAGAAGGCTTAATTTTCATGAATATTAAATTTTGTTCATTAAATGATTTTTAAAACCTCACCAACGCGTAAAAATAGATTTAAATTACATTGTTAATATTGTTATTAAAATACTTTGAAAAATTAGAAGAGTGTTTTTTCCTAATTTTTTCAATTTATTTCTGAAGCCTCGGTGGCTCAGGGGATAGAGCGTTCGCCTTCCAATGAGGTGAACTGGGGTTCGATCCCGAAGATGGCTGGTCGATTCGAATTCCGCATCCGACTGGCGCCGACCACTGTGCTGACATGAATTATCCTCAGTGATGGACGGATCATGTGTTAGAGTCCCCTTGCCGGTGTTTAACAGTTTTTTGATCTTGTCCTTCATTATACATTTCACTCGTTTTTATTTTCTTTAATAGTTTTCTTTTTGCTTCTTTTTTTTTCAATTGTTATGTATATAACAAAATTCGCTTCATTTATTGTTCTCTTTGCCTCATTTTTTTTTATATATAAATTTAACTAATGTGATGCGCATTATTGTCAGCTGTATAGCGCAATTGTGCTTTGTAATTGTGGTGCAGTTATGAATTTTGTAATGGTTTACTTATGTGCCGTGTTTTGTGCGAGCTAGACTGTCGTCCTGACGTGGGTGATACGGTTAAGAGTTTTGCAAACCTAGGTACGTGTCCACATCTGGAAGAAAAGAAAAAATGTCCTCTTGCCGTCAGACTAACCATGGGAGGTTCTCGTGGTAATCTCTATGTAACGCAAATGCGGGTTAGTTCCATCAGAAAGTCCTTCACGAAGGCAAATTTATCCCAATACTCGATCCAGGAGTTCTCTTGTCGAGTTCAAATCTCAGTGATGGCAAATCGATAGCCGGCCATAGTGCTGACGTAAAATATCCTCAGTGGTAGACGTATCATGGGTTAGAGTCCCCTTCCCGACAGACTAACTGTTGGAGGTCTTTCTCTCCACACAAGTATCATCAAAAAATCTTCCACGAAGGCAAAATGTTCCTAATACTTGATACAGGAGTTTCCTCGTGTCCGAGATTAGTTTCAAAATTACAAGGTTATGGAGTATACAGGTAGTCGTATACTCAAGATTGGGTTGGCTGTTCAATGACGAGTATAAAATATTAATTAAAACTTATTATGGGAGCCATGGTAGCTCATGGGATAGAGATCTCGCTGCCTATTGAGGTGATCGGGTTCAAAGCCTAGTGATGGCCGACCACAGTGGTGCCGTAAAATATTCTCAGTGGTAGACAGATGATGGGTTAGAGCCCATAACGCCAGGCAAACCGTGGTACTTTTTTATGGTTTTCTTTCCAAGTACAGAAAATGAAATTTAATTTTTTCGAAAAGTCTTCCAGGAAAGCAAGTTACTCCCAATGTTTGATCAAGGAGTTCCCTTGACTACTGGGTGCTGTTCAAAATTACAAGGTTGCGGACTTGAGCATTGACATTTGCAAACTCAGAATTGAGTCGGCTGTTCAACGCCGGTTATGAAATAAAAGAAAATTTATCCCGGATCCAATATTGCTCAAACTAAAGTTTTTGAGAAGTAGAAATAAAAAACGTGTCAATGAGAGAGAGAGAGAGAGAGTTAATCATACTTCTGCGTTATATCAGGTAAACAAGGAATATTGCTGTTCAAGTGCCAAACTAAACCAAGTGACGTATTAAATTTTTCCCAGATGATTAGATTTAATTATATTTGTAAAAGCAATACATTTTAAACTATTTGAGAGCTATCTTATTTCAACTACTTATTCCATAGTTCTGAATGAAATATATCGTTAAACAATTTTTTCTCAGAACAAACTATGCTATAGAAATTTATTTCTAATCTTAGCAAAACCTTAAACTTTGAACTATATGGACTATATTAAAAACTTATACGAAAGTTATGAATAAAATATGTTATTACATGCATATATTTTCTCAGAACAAAGTATGTTTTAAAAATTCAGTAGATGCACATTCATTACTTGAAACAAATTCACAAAATTGAGAAAAGCAATTATTTCCTCATTTACGTAAAATATCTTTGACAAAATTTGATGATTCAGCGTTGAATTCTTATTCTTAAGTAGCGATTCTTCTTTCTTACCAAGCACTTTTCGACTTGCAAATTCTTTTGGCAGAGGAGAAGTCATTAGGTATCTGTCATTTTTATACTGTCCCAAAGGTGCCAACAGTTTGAAACTAGAAAATGTTACATTTATCATTACGTTCTGTCAAGATACCTTTTGGCGCTCTTTGTGCAGCTGAATTTATTATTTTGAAAATGTTGCTTCACTAACAACAATCCAGAATGTAATTTGTCAGCGTTGCTTTTATAAGTTTGAGGAATTATTCACTATTGAATTAGAAGCGTCTTATGGGATTTTTCAGTAGTTTGTTTGAGCAAGTAAGATTCCTTAATTAATCCGATACATTTTATTCACTTTAACCATAATAATCATTCTGAACATTGACAAAGTTTTGTGCTTTTAGATATGGATTTAGATTAATGAAAAAACTCCACAAAACTTCATTTTTTAAGGACTTTTCATTATTAACCTGGATAAATGCAAGTATTGTTTATCGTTTTAAACCTTGTAAATTTAAATAATAATAGTAGTATTTGTACTTTACGTCTTACTGGAGCAGCATCAAGAGCTATTGGCGACACCCTAACAAAACTTCCCTGAGGAGAATCTGAGGGACATGCCAAAATAATTTTGATGCTCTGCAGAGAGAATAAGAAAAAAGTCGTATTTTGACCTGTATCTTCTCCTTATAGCAAAACCTTTTTTTCCGTGTTATTAGATAGGGAAATGATGAATTGGGGAGAAATATTCTTCAAATTTTGCCCATTTACCAAACAGCCAGTAAGTTAAGGTGATCGTATACCTTTAATGCTTTCGAATTTTACAGATATTTCGGTATTAAAAGGTCAAAAAACGCTTGAATTCAATCGAGCTTTTAAATATTTTTAAAAAAAAAATTCTCATGTTAATTTTAATATTGATATACAGTGAATGAAAAAATAATAGTTTCCAGAGCTAAACACATTAAAAATTTACTTGAAGTTATGATACCTAGATAATTGTCTTCAAAAGAGTTGCAAATGATAATGTAGAGCATCACAGTAAATTTACGAAAAACTCAAGATATGAAAGATAGTTAATTGATCATATTTTTCCCATTATATATTTTTTTCTTACTATTAGATCAATCATCGCTCAATACAAACACTAAAAATTATAACTGAATTGTGAGATATATTTGGGGGAAAAAGTTATTGAAGAAACCAAAATTTGCGAAATACACGCAGGGAGAAAAATGAAAACTAAATCTATCTGCCCGTGATAAATTACATGCAAAGTTTTATTTATTTTGCACTTACTAAAATATGTATCGTAAGCCGTTAACTTTTAAAGGAAACATAGTAGCTAGAAAACATAGATTTATCAAAATTGAAATCAAGGAAATTTGCTGGTAAACCATATTTTAAAAATAAACATACAACTATTATAGCTAAGGTATTAAAACAAATCCTCTTAAATTTAAAAAGTGAATGAAGAAAAAAAGGTGTTAGAAATACCTAATCAAAACAATGTATGATGGACATTCAGAAATAATGATAGATATTGAAATTTGAGTTATAAAGTTTAATTATTTTAAACACGTGAAACTTTTCCTTAAGAAAGTAACTTCACAAATAAAAAAAAAAACTTTAACTATACAGTAGACAAAAGATTGATCGGAGTATATCTCCAAGTTAAAAAGAAGTTATCAAATAAAGCTATCTTCCTGATAAAGTTTTTCAATCCAGATTGCTTTTTTTTAAATAACATAAAAATAAAATGATTTTATTATGAAAACCAAAGATTTTTAAAACTTCAGTAGTGCATAGTCCAAATTTCTGCGATAAAGAATTAAATCCAAACTCATAACAGATATCACAGGAATTTGCTCTAAAGTCTCTAATGCAAAAGCTATCTATCTATCTATCATTCCATAAAGCTGTCTATCATTCCATAAACCAACAATTTATTCCCACATCGCTAGCTGTAGTTTTTTTGCGTCATATTAAACATAATTTTAATTTTACAAAATCACTTAAACTTGAATTAAAATATATTCAATTCTAAATTTATTTCAAGCATATTCATCAGTATTTTTGTGGGGATGTAGTTGAGAATTTGAATGGTTTAAATTTATTATGCTACTGAAGATTTCAACAAAATATTTAAACATAGGTTTAATGTTAGGTAAACATAGGTTACTAAACAAAAATAAAAGAATTTGATATGGCCTACCTTTACTGAAGAACTCAAATAAAAAAACGTCATTTTTTTATAATGAAGTGCTTCATGTTAAAGTAAAATACAGATTGATAATAAAAGATACATAAAGATAAAAATGAGTTTGACAATCGGTAAGATTAAAACATTAATAAAATTCACGTTGACCATTGACGAAAATAAACAGTTTATCGGCTTATTGAAATTACATACATTTAAAGGCATGTGTGCTCAATTAAGGCTTAGAAACCTTTCTCAAATAGAATGACATACAGCACAATGCAGAGAAGGGCAGCACGAAGATACACCCAGGGTAACAGCGAGATTCGAGCCCGCATCCTTCAAGCTTCACACAGAGTTTGGCGAGTGATACCGTTCGGCCAGGGATGCCCCAATCAAGCAGTTGTAAAACTGATTTATTTATTATTGCTCTGAAGTAACTTCTACTTTAAAAGAGCTTGCGTTTATTTCTTTCTTTCTTTTTTTATTTATACTAATATACGTCCTGAGTTATGGTGACATTCTAGGACACGTTAAGGACACGGTTCTCAACAGATCACCGAAGGCATGCATCTCTGGCTGCGGTCAGTGTGTGGGTGGGTGACTACTTGGAATAATTTGCGTAGGGACCTAGGGTTTGTGGTATTGGTCCACATTAAACTGCTCTACCGTAAATGGCTCGACTTCATATGCAGGTCGTCCGACTACTGAAGCGGGGGTGCCATCCTCTCTGCAGAGGATCAAAATTGTGATAGCATGTCTTCGGATCATTCTCTCCCAGACGATCGCCAATAGCCCATTGTGCAGCTCTAGTGCAACGTAACTGAACTACAACAGCAACTACCTTCACATAAAAGATGATTCTACAGAACTGTGACAACTGCTCTGCCAAAGAGGCTTCCTTTTATTTATAAAATGCTATTCATGTATGTTTGCAAAGTGCATTTTACAAGCCATTGACAAGTTTAAAACAGATAGTACAAGTTAGGGAAACACATCACCAAGACACATCAAAATAAGATGGGATTTTAACCCACGACCTCAATGCTACTGGAAGTTTGATTGCATGGCGAAACCGCTAATGAAGAGAGGCCTCTTTAAATCTTACGTGCTCTTCGCTTATAAACACTGATTTTCTTCAGTGACCTCATATCCCGAGTTTGGCAAGTTATTAATATGCTGTACTGTGTCAAATTATCGCGAGTGTGTACTTTAAAAAAATTCTAATTAGTGCTTAGATTTAAATAACTTATACAAGTGTGCATATGCAATGGCATATCTTCCTGGCAGGTCAAAAGATGAGATTCATGACTGTGACATAAAATGTCTCATGTTTATGACCAGACGTCTCAGAAGAATTTCAAGCGACTTTACAATCAAATAGCTTAATGACATACATGAGCTTAAATGATAAAGGATAAACTCACAGTTGAAACTTTGTGCTACGGATCAGCAAAATTTTCTTTCTCAGTTCTTTATAGAATTTTTCATCAAAAATCCTTAAGTTGGTCTTATATTTCGTTGAACTTCATTGAAGTATTCATAGAAGCTATTCACTTGTAAGCGATGTTATTCCTTGATATTTTAAGAAAGAAACTTGCGAAATTTTTTGCAGTAGTTCAGAACCTTATTTTTTTAATCTCTCACCACTAAACCTTCATTTGTTTATTGTCTTATCGACTGAAACAAAGCGCTTGCAATCAAATAGGAAATATGATACATGAAATGCTACTTAAAGTGAATATTTGAAATCGGATTAATAAGCAATAAAAATTGCGGGTTGATATTTTGAAGCTATTGAAAGAACTTAAATTCATACTAGTAATTAACATAAATACGATAAATTTTAGTATAAGATCTTTGAAAAGGAAAATATGGAAATTACGAGTAGCGAGATATCATTCTGATCAGTTATGGTCTTATGTAGCGGACATATATCAGATCGAAAGCATATTTTTTTCTCATATTTCATTTTTGATGAGTCTCTGTAGTTTGTACTCCATGCAACTGAATTGAAAAGTATTTAAAATCTTTATTAAATTAAAATCTATAATTAAAATCTAGACAGTAATAAAAATATATGTTTTATTTCAAATAAGTAGGCTCGTTTGATAACTTCTAATGAGTGCAAAGTTTCTTGAGCTGCGATGGATCAGTAGGTAAGGAATTTGCGAAGAGCTGGTACTCGATCCACAGTGATGGCTTGAAGCCGCGCCCAGCTTCATATCGATGGATACCAGCCCGTCTAGGAAGTAAATACGGCCTGTGTCATGTGCTGACCACATTGCCAAAGTCATGCCGTTGGTAAAGAAATTGTGGAGCCATATCCACCATGATCCCCTGACCTACTACGGACTGGAGCGCTTTGCAAAGTTTCTTTTGATGCTTTTGCACTCGAACCTACGAACTCATTTGTTGCAGCTGCACCTACATAACACAACACATTATATTCCTGACTTTTCAGATAAGGACTCTTTGTACCATGTTTTATATGTGTGCGTATCGACTAATCATTTAACAACAGCTGTATTCTTTGAGTTAGGTTGGAAAACAAATTACTGTTTTAGACTATGTCTCTGATAAGTGTTCATGCTATCACTGTGTTTATGCTGTCACTGATAAGGTCATGTATTTGTTCCCTAAAGTCAATGAAATTTTTTAAATTTTGCTTTTTTTCTCTATAAAGACGAATTAATAAAAGACATTTGGTTCTATAGAGATATAGTAGAAATCACAGTAATTTGTAGTGTAGCTTTATGACAATAACTTTTGGTGAAATTCGAGATAAAATAGGTTTGTATTATCATAATGTTAGGTAGCAAATTTTGCCACAACAGTGGATAATTTTATCAGTTCTAGCTTAGTTTGCGGCAGTATAAGTACTTGATAACCTCTTTTTTAATTAATAAGTTCTTGTTAACTTTTTTTCTCCAGATTATTTCTTAGATATTCATATATCGGCCATAAACTAAGACCTACCAACCTTTAAAACTAATAAAAATAAGTGTAAGTAAAGTGGTTCCGCCATTCCGTAAAACCCTCTGTTAAGTGAAGGTAGTGGGTTCAAATCCCACCATAATTTTGGTTGCACAATTGCAATGCCCTATCTAACTTGTGCTACATGTTTTTTATATTAACTAAGGCTTACAAACCATACCTTGTGAAGAACCCATTAGCCTGCATATATATATATGAGTGACAATAAATAAATAAATTTCTTTTACAATACACATGCTAGCCTGTTTGTTCAGTGCAAAGAATGGCTTGTAAACTCTCTTTAAATTGAAGAACAGAGAACACAAAATTGAGAAGAACATTACAAATATATTGAACCCTCTATCTCTACTCTTGGAAGTATCATACTCGTCGGTCACGGAGGTCACAATTATATTTAATTTTTGGTTGCCGTACTTGGTTGCAATATATACAGTTGGCGCTTCTCTCCCTTTCTCTAAACGTTCTGAAAGGTGGAAGTGACTAGTCCCGGCTCACACTGTCTACAGTACTCCTCAATACAAAATATCCTCGGTGGTAGACCTCAGGGTAACCGTGGGAGTAACCGTAGTTTTTCCTTCCATGTAACACAGATGCGCTTTAGTTCCTTCATGAAGTCCTCCAAGAAGGCTTGCTTGCCTCAGTGCTAAATTTATTTTTTTTATAACCGTCGTTGAACAGCCGACCCTATTATCGGTTTACGACTACTAATGTTACACTCCATAGCCATGTAATTTTGAACCAATCCAGAAGAATCCTGGATCAATACACTCAGAGGTATGATTTATTATGGGAACATGTAGGACTTTGTGACAAGACAGATTTGACGTGCATCAGTCACCATTTACTACACATTGTCTTCGGCCTGCGGAGATCGAACCCATGACCTATTGAACATGGTAGGTAGGTAGGTAGTTCATTTACGTCGCACTAGAGCTGCACAATGGGCTATTGGCGACGGTCTGGGAAACATCCCTGAAGATGATCCGAAGACATGCCATCACAATTTTGATCCTCTGCAGAGGGGATGGCAGCCCCGCTTCGGTAGCCCGACGATCTGCACGCGAAGTCGAGCACTTTACGATAGAACAGTTTAACGAGGACCAATACCGCACACCCTCGGTCCCTACGCAGACTGATCCAAGTGGTCACCCACCCGCACACTGACAGCAGCCAGTGATGCTTGACTTCGGTGATCTGCTGGGAACCGTGTCTTAACGATCAGTCCACTGCGGGACCTATTGAACATGGACCCAGTGCCCTACCAACCAGGCTATAGCGGCAAAGGCTTAATATAGGAGTTCTCTGTCTTCTGGCTTGTGTTCAGAATTACAATGCTAAGGAGTTGAACACTGTTTGCCGTAAACACTGAATTGGGTTGGCAATCCAACGTTTATAAAACAAAATAAAGCTGAAAGAAATTTTAAAAAAAATTTAAAAAAACTGTGCTATATGCTCTTCTAATTGACATGGGGTTTAAGGTGTTATTTGTATTTAGAAACAAATCCGCATATATATGTGAATAAATAAATAAACAGCCCCCCCCCCCCTTTAGTTCTGTTTAACTGAGTTTAATATCCTTAAAACACTCCAATTACACATTTGAAGTAACATACTTGCTCCTTTTCTATATCTTTTGAGAAATATATTAGGAAAATAAATAAATACCGTCATTTAACACCTAGAATTCTTTTTAAGAAATTGCTAAATGCTAAACTGCCATTAAAAAACATTGTTAGGTGTAATACCATTTTATTTATAAATGGACTCTTTCAGGAAGGCTCACCCTCAAAACACACTCTCAATAAATGATTTTATTACCGTGTTTGGTGTTACTTACCAGAATTATCATGCTTCTCCCTTTTTTGAATCAATCAGAATAATTTTTACGATGCAAATATGATTTTTTAATTTTTTTTTTCCTTTTTAACTCAGCTATATGATTCAATTTTTTGATGCCTGTTATGGGTAAACATTTCACAGTAATTCTCATAAACAAAGGAAAAAATTGTCCTCTTTTCACGACAGTTCAACTTAATTCTATACACACATTTAAAAACTAGTTTTTAAAAGATTTTCAAAATCGCTACCTTTTTTTAAAGCATGTATAAGAATCAAACTTAAACTATAAGGTTCTGCAAACATTCAGCTAAATAAAGCTAATATCTTCTTACAAAGTTTAAAGCATTTAAGTATAATAAAGTTGGGCATGTAGGAGAAGTACTTTTACTTAAAGTACCACAGCTATTTCAAGCCTTAATTTCTTTTAACTTTAATTAAAGTTTCTATACATTCTGTACTTGTGGTATCAAAGAGATCTTTTTTGAAAGAATTTTAATTAAAAGAAGAAATGTCAAGATAGAGTAAGTTCTTTACATAAACTGTACTCATTTAATCATTGCATTTCAGTTATTCGTAGTTCGTCATTTCTCTTCCTTAGAGTATAAAAAAAAGAGATGCTTTCAGAGAAAATAAATACAGCTAAGGT